ACACTACCTGGTAAGCTAAATTGCTGTGGATAAACGCTGTTTCTGGCGTTAGGGCATGTCTCAAATGCGAACTTCTTGGCACACGTGACAGCCTCAAAGAAGCAATATCATTTTTTGTGCTTTTTGATGCTTCCGATGCCAGTTGGATAAAAAAAGAAGAAACACATCAGGTACTTCAATCCACAAATTGAACTCACTAAGGGTTCTGGCACGTTACATCTAGCGGCAGTTAACGTATCAGGGAAGCTCTTATGGGCAACAGTTCAACTCTTCAATAAGTTTGGAACCACCACAGATGGAAAATTCGGAGACTCGAAAGTTACAGTTACCACCAGGACAATTATCAGATGCGGAAACTCGTCCCACTCTTCCCGTCTTTTGTACCCCGAATTTTAAAAAATTTAATGCAAAAACTCAACTGGACAGTTTGAGGACTCCTACCTCAGCTGTGGATAAAAGGTCACTGAAGTGCTCTTTTTGTGATTCTTTATACGACAGAGCACTCATCAGAAAAGACTCTACAGAAAGCAATTTTTCGAGTTAGTTGCTCTCGAAATTGTTGCTTAGAAAGCGTCCACCTAATTTCTCAAGATTTCCTGTATGGTACACCTTGGTTTAAATGAAATCCCGAAAAACTTCGATTACTTGAAGAAGCAGAGCAGAAAGACATTCACATGCCTTACAAGGGGGTCTTTCAGGGCAAGCCACGCTTTTTCAAAACGGTTTCTTGCATATTGTAGGGACGCATGTAGGGAACACAAAACCATGTTTCATTTTCGCTGAACGGTTTTAGCAGTACCAAAAAAGAAGCATAAGGTACTGTTAATGGTTCGATCCCCGTGGCGACTAAATTTTGCATTTGGGTTGGCGCCTACGGTTTGGTGCCAAATCGCGCTAAATGTCAAAATCAGATGTCAAATTCATCGTCAGGACCATTTTGAAGCCAACAAGTGGCCGCCAACCTTGATTGCAAAATTTAGTCGCCGCGGGGGATTGAACCATCAAGGGAGTATATTCACCACTTTTTTGGTACTACTAAAACCGTTCAGCGAAAACGAAACATGGTTTTGTGGTCCATACATGCGTCCCTACAACATGAAGAAACCGTTTTCAAAAAGCGCGGCTTGTTAACCCATTGCGGACCGCCGTTATAATTGCACCTCCGTAGGTTTTTGTCATCTCTTTTATCAGTGGCCAATGACCTATCGAAAATTTAACCAGTATGCAAATAAGTGATATATCCTGTGTCCAAAAAAGTAAACTGATGATTTTGTAACTTAACAAAATGCTGAAAAAATCGAAGATTACTATCCTTCTCCGCGTGGTGGCGTGCTGCACCATGTGCAGCACGCGGTCCGCAATGGGTTAAAAGGCCCCCTCCCTTGTTAGTTCGTGCCACGGCAAGCGCGATTCTCCTTCATTTGAGGACTCGTGTTAGCGAAGTTGCTGGCATCAAGCTCAATCTAGTTTTACTTTGTGATAGAGCATTCTGTGTTTTTGGACATAATGTCTTCGTCCTCATAATTTCGGCCCACCCTGTACACAATGCTCTCTGGACATCTATATTTCGAGATAAGTGATCGAGGTGTACTAAGGGAAGCTGAATTTGAACCCTCCGTATTTATATTTATACCACTATCCCTATTCACCGAACAATGTTTATTTCAGAAGAGCGATGTGGAGTATTTCGAGCAGTTCATGAAATTATGCACTGGTTCGCTGGAAAACACGTGAGAAATGTGGCGGTCAGTATTTATAAACGCTCACTTTGTTAGAAATCTCAGAAAAAAATCTGATAACGTTTTCCCTTAGGGGAGATTCAGTATTCTGTTCTTACGGAGAAATGGGAATGATCACTATTTTTCCAGTCAATCGCCGGCAACATCGTCACCGCGTCACCGATTTCCGACCTGAATCCTATATGGATGGCAGCTGGCGCGAAGGTGATTGCCTTGAAAATTCAAAAATTTAGTGCCCCTGTAATCTACATATTTGAAACCCTCTGTGCGTACACAACAAGATGCTGTGCTCAGTACCATCTCATCAGTTTTTGTTCAGGTCGTCCTCGAGTCAGATGAGCGCGGGGTGCGTTGTCCTGTGATCGATGAGCACTTTTTCTTGGCTTACAGAAAGGCTGATGTGGAAGCTGATGAAGTAGTGAAAGCCGTCATCGTTCCTCTCACCAAGGAGGTAGTTTAAGAAGATAGCTTCATTATTCAAATATTTATCTTACAATAGATATATCTTAGTTTCAATAACCGTGTTTACCTATTTTTTTTTCTCTGGTCTTCCACTGGGCTGCCCTATGCCCTAAATTCACCCGAAACCTCTGTAGTGGCTAGTGGTTTCAACAGCGTCGACCTCATACCCGCAATTCTCAACAAATGCCAACGTTTTATAATTCTATTGTAACCTACAATGAAAGTAGGCCGCAAGGGTATCGGGACTGTGAAAGCAAATCAAAATTTTTGGTAATCCCCTTATCCTATTGACTTTTTAGAAGTTGTGCAGATGTGTTGCTCAAAGCGTGGTACTTGTGCGTGCTTTCAAAGGGAGCGTAAACTGGCCTCGATTAATACCGTTGAAGGAATATTCCTCTCAGATACATTCCCAGCATCGCCCGATTCAAAAGAGTATCTCTCTCCGGGCGGGGGAAACGGCAGCAGCTTCCCACAAGCTTTCTGGGGGAACGTACCAGGCGTAATCAGTGTCAAAGGATTAGGTGTTGGTTGCGAAAATGAATGCTGTTATTATGGGTTAAGCACGGTGCCAGAACGATAACGTTTTATTGCGAGGTAAATAGAAGTGTGAGCATTATATCAAGCGTTTGTGATGCGTTAAATCGTTAAAGACATATCATAATGACATCGAGAATTATGTTCATTGGGCGGCACTGTTTTCGCCTAATCTTTAAAAAAATGACACGATCAACTTACTACGGTTCCATTCGACCCACTTTGTGATTACTCCCAGAACGTCGCTCTGATCAGCGGTTGTAGAAGAAAAATAGACCAGCTATTTATCGTAGTCCAGTTGCACTGATCTGCAGTTAAATATCAGCAAATGACCAAAACCGTTTTAGGAAGCGCATGAAACTGTGAGCCCATTACCATAGGAGGAGGTCACAATTCGCATGTATTGGTGTTAGCTGTTTGCTCGCTCCTCCATTGTCGTCAAGGGGCAAATTTTAGGGTCCCATTTTTTGTAGAGGAATTTCATCGCTTTTTCCGCTAGTACTATTCAGCATTCCCCAATAAACCCAGCCCAATCTGAGCGTAATCCCTCGCTTCATGCGCAGAAACGGAATTTGCTCCCTTCCGCGATGAAAGTTCCTATCCGTTCCTTTAACTTGCGCTTCACACTCCCATTCACTTCACATCCCAAGTTTCATATTTGCATGGATGTACCATATCATATTCGGCAGGGACTTCCATGTACTCTAGAAAGCAAAGTAACCCATAGTGGTATGAACTCTTTATGGGTAGCGCTAAGAGATGGTGGCCATAAAAAAAAGTATATAAAACGCAATTTTTCAAGAGGATTGTTGTGAAAGATGCTGTAGTAAGATAGATGTTTTCTACAAAGGGTTTTTGAGAAACCAATTCTTCCGTGTGTACAAGCAAGCGCAGCGCCGCGAAGACGACATCGCCATCGTCACCGGAGCGTTTAATGCCGTCGTCGATCCGGACACGCTCATCGTTGAAAAAATTCGAATTTCATTCGGCGGAATGGCTCCCACGACCAAGCTCGCCCTCAAAACCATGGAGCAGTTGACTGGAATGTGAGTTACATACTTCTGTGTGTTCTAGTTTTTTCATAGAAAACAATTTTACATTCCAGGGAATTGGAGTCAACGCTGCTTTGATCTGGGTCTTGATCTTATCTCCAAGGAATTTGCATTACCTGCAGGAGTACCAGGTGGAATGGCTCGATATCGACAAGCTCTCACACTCAGCTTCTTCCTGAAATTCTTCCTTGAAGTCGCTGAGGCTTTGAATGTAAGCTTACTTTGAATGTTCCGACTCTGTAGGTGTGCGCAAGTTGACGAAGCTCGATGAGAGAAATAAGGTACAGAACTTCCGCGAAGAGAACGCATACAAGTTTTTGTCGTCCAAGGTTACGATGCTGATCCCTGCGTCGTCGTATATCGTTATTGATCTCATCCTAAGGAAGTCTCTTCTAGTACCCTCACTGAAATAATATTGTCAAGGCATATCCTGCGGCTATGCACTCACCCTACCTGTTCGGCCGTGTATTAATCGTGAAGGAACTATAATACCAACAACTAATCCCACTTATAATCCTTACAAGTACATTATGCAGAAATGTGACCACGAGTGCAGAATGCATAGCATGGAAGTGGGGGGATATCTCTATTGAAAAATCGTAGCGAAATTCAGTTCTATTCTTCTATATACAATATGCACAGTTATTCTTATTATAAGTACAGTGATGCATTATTAAGAAGTATATATTATTTTTATATAGGCCATAGGGTTCAAGACACGGCATATATCTGGTCATAGTATTTTATTATCTAGCACACGAGATCACACAGTGACGAGTGACGAAGTACTGCTATATATATTATATATTGGGGTATATAATATATTATTCTATTATAGTTCTCGAGAGACGTTAAAGTTAAAGGCATACTCTATGTGTGGTCACAGCTGACATTAACCGCCAGTGAGGGACTAATGCGTAAGCACAAGAAAAGACAGGCGAGACAGCAGAATGGGAATAAGACAATTCAAAGCAGACGATTAATTCGTATTTTGCTGAATGATAAAAAAATGGAAGTAGCTGTACGCGTTCCGGGAAGAACCTTAGCTATCGTTTCTTCACGCACTTGGAAGCCGGAAAAAGGAATATTCACGATAACAACGAACGTCAAGGAAGGGGAGAATTGCCTTGTTGGAAGAAAGGCGGACCTCCTGAGGATGTGACCGAGCGCGGTTTGCGGGATCCACGCACAGTGCGAACAGTTCCCGTCTATGCACGCATTGACTCACTTATAGGGTCAACAAGGGAAATGTGCCTTCGAGGGTATATATACCCGACAGGAAATGGAGGAGAGGCTATTCGCTCGCTAGTTGCTTCTGGCGTCTGCATATGCGGCTAGACGAATTCTCAGATCGCCATTTCCTTCAGGTTTCGAGTCAACGGTAAGCTGCATCGTGATAAAGCTGAAAGAAGCAGTTTGTTTGTAATGTCATAGTCAAAGTAAGGGTCGGCCCGCATAAAATTGTCGGAGGTTTACAAATTCCGTGAGGGGTTAGTGTGCCGTAATCCTCTGCTACCATGGGCTCTTCAGGTCACAAACATTGACGACAGGCACGAGCTTACAAGTATTGGCCAGGACATACCAGAAGGACTTATTGCTACTCAACTATACCAGGTATACCATTTTTCTCATGACACCAACTTGATCAATGAATGTCAGAGAACTTTTTAAGGAAGTGCCAGCCGATCAGCCGGCCGCACGATCCTGTTGGCCGAGCGATTCCACATGCATCCGGTATGAAGCATGTCACTGGTGAAGCGGTCTACTGTGATGACATCCAAGTGGCTAGTGGGTTTCCCTTTTTGCGGCCATTGTTGTGGTAGCAAACTCATCATGGGCGCTACCGGTCTGCTATACACAAGTATTGCAGATTGTCTTCACATGGCCTATTTGTGATGCGCGATATGCTGTGCGTACCGCCTCTTGAGTGCTGTGGATGATCTCAAAACCGGTTTAGCCTATGGACGGTTGGTCGCTCTACATCGACGCCGATGACGTGCTCGAAGGCATCAAACTTGGCCATCACAGCGACACGCCGGTATTCGCGAAGGACAAAGTGAGTTACCAAGCACAGGGGGTCTTACCCAACCAGAACTGCTGAGTAATAGTTGAATCTACAAATTGCCCTTAACCATTCCAGTTGACCTACCACGGCCAGCCCATCGCGGCCATCATCGCCCGCGATCATGAAACTGCTCGACGTGCGGCTAACGCCGTTAAACTTGAATATATCAGAGAGTCTCCTAGCTGCTTCGAGGGTATATATACCCGACAGGAAATGGAGGAGAGGCTATTCGCTCGCTAGTTGCTTCTCGCGTCTGCATATGCGGCTAGACGAATTCTCAGATCACCATTTCCTTCAGGTTTTCGAGTCAACCGGTAATGCTGATCGTGAAAAGCTGAAAGAAACAGTTTTGTGTTTGTAATTGCATCGAGTCGTATAAAAGTGTGTGGGCGGAAAGTGGTGTAGTGACAAGTGGCGCGCTTACCACGCGAGCGGTCCGGGGATCAAATCCTGGGTCGTGAGTCGCCCGGGCCAACCAAGCCTTCCATCCCTCCGGGGTCGGTTAATTGTGGGAGGATAAAAACACTGACTTGAACATCGGCTGGCCCCCGCAAGTCATTGTATAGGCCACATCGCATTCAAACGCCACTGCGAATGTACAAATGGAAGTAGAATGCGTGCCGCATCCCAAAAGGGATTGATCAACGGCAAATGCTTTATCCTTTCGTTATAATTGCGACTGTAGTAAGGCAGGAGTGCGACAGCATAAACACTTCGCGATTTACAAACTGATCAGCTAGTTGCAGGTAATCCTCTGCTACCATGGGCTCTTCAGGTCACAAACATTGACGACAGGCACGAGCTTACAAGTATTGGCCAGGACATACCAGAAGGACTTATTGCTACTCAACTATACCAGGTATACCATTTTTCTCATTACACCAACTTGATCAATGAATGCTCGAACTTTTTAAGGAAGTGCCAGCCGATCAGCCGGCGCACGATCCTGTTGGCCGAGCGATTCCACATGCATCCGGTATGAAGCATGTCACTGGTGAAGCGGTCTACTGTGATGACATCCAAGTGGCTAGTGGGTCCTTTTTGCGGCCTAAATTGTTGTGGGTTAAGAAACTCATTCGTATAACGTTCGTATACAAATATTGCAGACTGTCTTCACATGGCCTTTGTGATGTCGCCGATTGCCTGTGGTACGCTTGAGTGTGTGGATGTCTCAAAAGCGGTGGCTATGGACGGGGTGGTCGGTTACATCGATGCCGATGACGTGCTCGAAGGCATCAAACTTGGCCATCACAGCGACACGCCGATATTCGCGAAGGACAAAGTGAGTTACCAAGCACAGGGGGTCTTACCCAACCAGAACTGCTGAGTAATAGTTGGATCTACAAATTGCCCTTAACCATTCCAGTTGACCTACCACGGCCAGCCCATCGCGGCCATCATCGCCCGCGATCATGAAACTGCTCGACGTGCGGCTAACGCCGTTAAACTTGAATATATCAGAGAGTCTCCTCTCATTTCTATCGAGGTATATTGGTGAGACGAGTTGGTGAGGCGACGAACCTTAGTAGTCCTCTCATCCGAACAGTTCCATTAGCTTATTGAGGCTCTTTGAAGGATGCCGTCGAAGCGGACTCGTACCTCATGCGTCCTCTTACCATCCATTCGTCATTGCTGGAGAATGAAACAGTGGTGCAGAATGACTGGAGCAATTATGATCACGTTATCGAAGGAGAGGTCAAGATAGGTGGACAAGTAGGTTTTTTTGTGTTGTTGCTGGGAATGAATGTCAGGTTCTCCTGAAGATAAGAACTATTATTTTGGCACAACTTCATAATTTGTCTGTGAGGTACTCTAGAATGACTAAATTCGGTCCGGGAAGGGTGAGCCCTCCCTCTTTCCCCCTCTTTCACCTTCTCGTTGTAGTTCTCAGTTCTTCGAAAAAAAAAACATAGCAAAAGACCCAACAAAAGAAAAAAGGAGCGGATCATAATGTAATTCAAGCTCGGAGTCGACTCACGCGAGTGCTTTGCCCTGCCCAGCTTCGCCAGCTTTGCAGTGAAATCTGTGCATCCTTTCTAAATGTAAGGGGTAAGTGATGGAGGAAGAGGAAACTTCAGATGATGATCGGTCTGATCTCAAAGGAATATTCTAAGATAAGGTAGGAGGTCGAAGAAGATGAAATATGGCTAGTTAGAAGGCAGGCGAGCTCTTTAAGGGAGCGAGACGATGCGCATTTTGTACGGAGAGCATATCCTCAGCGGTCTGCAGAGGCGTACCCGCACCGCTCGCGCCTCAGCACACCCGTCGAAGGCAACCTCTCGCCGTCTGACTCCAGCTGTTTACCAGCGAAAGCGTTAGGGTTGAAGAGGGCAGCGCCTATGAGAGTCGCTTTAAGTCAATTGGTTGGAGAAGGGGTCCCATTTCTTGAGTTCTGGCCCGTCTCCCATGCTTTTTTCTTTACTAATGCACTACCGACTTCTCTGTATTGGTTTCTGATAGACATTTCTGCCTCTTCAACGTGAACTCAGCCTTTAGTAACGTGAACAAGTGAGGGATTGAATGGGGGCTTCTGCTCTTAACTTCGGTCAAGTGACAAAGGGACCGATAATTGAGTGGAGAGCGTTGGTGTGTGGCGTCGTGCTTCTAGCAGCCTCAACCTGTTATTTTCCTCTGCAAAGAATTGCACCTTATTTTCGAACGATTTCACGGGAATTCAGATTTCAGGAGCACTTCTACCTTGAAACTCAACAATGTGTTGTCATACCTCATGAAGATGACGAACTCGAAATTATCACCAGCTCACAAGGAATTAATGACGTTCAGGTGCGTTGTTACACGTTTCTTTTTGAGCACCTTTTCACTAATTTGTGATGTTTTTGCTGTGCTTATTGTAATTAGTTGTGTGATATTCAAGTCTCTATATTTTCACTTTGTGGTCTATTTGTGTCCTCCTAATATGCAGCGAGCAGTATCTTTTTGCAGATGGAAACGGCAAAATGTCTCGGAATTCCTGCCCACAAGATTGTTCGTGAAAGTAAAACGAATCGGTGGTGGTTTTGGTGGCAAGGAGAACGCTTGTTCATTACTGACCGTCCCTGCAGCGATTGCAGCACGAAAGTAAGCGTTTTCGACTTTTTTGTGATCGGTACCTTTTTCGATGCGCTCATATCGGTTAAGCTGACATATAGGGCCCCATCAATGCTCACAGTCCATGAATAAAATCTAAGATCAAACCGCGCTCAGCCTCAGGCTTCCCATCAGGATCGGTGTTTCTCATCAGCTCTGTATAGGATAAAACTTTACTGATAAAACTTGTACATCACTAGCCTCTCAGGAAGCATTATGGCTGGCAAAGGTTGTGCCCAACTGCCCAGAAATCTGAATAGAAGTAAGATGCCTGGCGTGTCACAGAAGGAATCTGACTGGCGCCGAGGATCTTATTGTAAATTAATAAAATAAAAAATTAAGAAATAAAAACGCCTCCCAATTGGAGCTATGTTCCATTGCTGAACGATTACAAGTGTAATTTTTTCATAATGAAAAACCTTTCAAAACCTTACAGCAAGTTCGAGGAGGGTCTATTCAAGTATAGGTAACAGCTACAACTACTCCTGTTAGCTACAGGTAATATAGGTGATAGCTACAACTACTCCTGTCCTGGTCTCCTGGTGAAATCCTAACTCTGTTTCAGCGCAACTTTACCCCATTTCTTAAAATCATTCCATAAGAAGTACAGCTCATTCATCTCGCGGAGATCTTGCATGCTTGCACAGCAGTTGAAAATTTTCTGTGGAATTTGAAGCTCAATTGAATTTATTGTTAAAAAGTTTCGTGTTTTATTTCAAAAAGCAAGGTTTTCTTTCCAAGACATATGCTCTGGAAAATGTATCATTGAACGCAATTAAAATGTATCATTGGCGTCTTAGCCTATACGATGGTGCAGTGTTCCGCGTGCGGTGCTCTTGATTAATTGTGGAAATTTGGTAGCTATTGCAAACTTCTTTCACATAACCTAGCCATACCTTACACATATTATCTTTCCTAAGTCCATTACATCACCTGTATCACCTGTCGTCCCGTTGATCGTCGATTTGCTCGAGCGGGCGCCAGCAACGTCTCCATTCGTCCCTGTCGCGTGCTAGAGTGGTCCAGTGGATCCTCCTTGCTCGAGGGACACGAAGTCCTTCATTCCTTTCGTTCAGAGCTTTCGTGAAGAAGTCTGACCATCGGGCCGGCGGTCGTCCAGGTGTTCGTTTGACGTCCCGAGGGATCCAGTCGGTAACCGCTCTGGTCCAACGGTCATCGCAAAATCGCATGACGTGTCCGGCCCACCTTATCTTCGATTCCTTGGCGTTAGCTTGGTCTAAATTGATACTCTTTTTAGGTTCCGAAAACCAGTACGACTAACTTTGGAACGATATGACGACATGGCGATGACTGGAACGAGGCATCCGTTCAGGTTCAATTACAAGGTGAATCAGTACCGTAAGCAGCAGTTTGCGTGAGCAGCGCGCAGCGTCACCTAACGCCCTCGCAGAACCATTTCTGATTCTACTGAAAATGCATTCATTCAGGTAGCATTGGATTCTTCCGGAAAATTCCGCGATTATTCAGTAACGGCGTATGGTAACTGTGGCCATACCCTGGACCTCTCGCTCGGTGTTGTACGTGAGTTTCCTACAACGATTCGTTCTCAGCAGCCATTTCTCAAAGCTATTATCTAAGAACGTGCAATGGTCCACATAGACAACGTTTACAAATTCCCAAACGCCGATATTTGTGGACGGTTATGCAAGACGAATTTGGCATCAAATACTGCTTTCAGGTAAATCCTTCACTTAACAACAACTTATAGTTTGAGTAAGAAAAACGTTCGTTAACATCTTCTGAGTTAACTAACTAATATCAATCATCCGGCCGAAAGCTGGCTGGAGGGGCCATTTGCGTAACTGATTCCAAGACCAACCATAAGGCCGATCTACAGGCGCACACACTGCGGCAAGAAAACGCAGTTTCGGTAATGCTTCGCTGTCTGATTCTTACAATTGGGCACCTCCACAACGTAGAAGAAGAGCCTGTGTTTTCAGTGTTTTTGACTTCAATCCCTTTTTACTTGCTCATTTTTACTTCATTCTGCACTCCCACCTTCTTATCGAAAGCAACTTCCCATTCACTTGATCATTCTTGCTTTGAGGGCTAGGCGACGCAAAAGGTTTTTGGCGCGTCCCAATGTGAAACACATGAGGAAGCAAGAGTGCAATTCCCATATCGAGCGCTGCGCGGTGTTCATCTACAGGTCGTCTGTAGGTCATAGCTGGGTGAAGCTCAATATACTATTAGGTACCGGATATCTTAGTGTCGCTTTTCTGAGTTCAGGAAGTTTTGGGGCCGATTACTATGGAAAATCAATATCTCAGAAAGTCCTTTTTGCTCATTAATACTGCGAAATATGTTGCTTATTGTTTTCTATTGTTGGTTCACAATTTAACTTTCCCCCAATTTTTATACTTTTTTTTGAAAATTCCTGGGTCCAGTGTGCAAATTCGCATGTGTGTACCAAATGCTTCAAAATTCTTGCTGAGAGCTACAACTTCCGCCCACCAAACCAACATTGCATTTGTTGGAGGGAATACTACCATTTGAAATGCTCATCGGTTTTCACAGTTTCCTGAAAAGATATTAAGTCTCTACAGGGATGCAAGCAATCGTTGTCTAAAAGA